AGGTAAATATTTATATATGTTTCACATGTCCATTATTTCGTTTTTCTTATTTGATTTGGTGGTATCTTAAGTGTTATGGTGTTTATTATAAGAGGTTCGGTTCATAATTAAATCTTATTTATTGTTCCTCGAATTTTCAAGCATATAAATAAACCAGTTGTACTACGAAATATAAAAAATAAATATGTTTACAAAGTGTATTGCGACTAGATTCGCAACACTAAGAAACTACAATGTCATTAGGCATTTTTAAAGCGTTTCACCCCAAGCAAGGCGGGAAGCCACTAGCACGCAAGGGTTACAGAGAGTTGGAGCGAGAGCAAATAGGAGCGAACTTCCCTACTCGTTTTCCTAGACAAACCGAGGAACATGCTTCTCTATTTGATCTAATCTCCGCAATACTGCTCTCTTGGTAACTCAGACTACACTGTGGTAGATACTGATATCTCCTTCCCAGGATCCATTAAACGGGAAACCCCTATCCATAAGACCTCTTTCTGGTACCAGCAGGCTGATTGGGACTTATTTCGAGATTATCTTCGTGACGCCCCTTAGACTAATATCTCCAACCTCCAAAGTGGAAATTGCGCTCCTGAGCTTTCTTCTTGGGTCATAGACGACATGGACACTTTCATCCCTTCTCGGAATTATCAGGTGAAGCAACAATCCCCTTCCATGATTTGCACCAGCATGATCAGCATTCATAGCACACAGGAACCACGATTTCCGGCTATACCAGACTGGCAGCTCTCGTCATAACAGGTGCCTATCTGTTACTGCTTGTAACAAATGTAAGGAAGTCCTCGAAAAAGCTAATTCCCTGTTTGCTGAGTGAATGAGGCACCGCATAGCCTCTAAAAAACTTTGGCTCCTGTGACTACTGGTGTTTCTGTAATAGTGCAAAGTCTCTATCCACCCCCTTCAATCAATTTTAGGTGTTATCATCCTCTGCTGATAATGCTGAATGCCCGTAAAGTCTCCTCAAACTCTACTCTTGACTCATCTGGAGTATCCCTGTCTAACTTCCCACTTAGAACTGATTCGCTTTTGAGTTATTTGCATATAAGTAATTCCATGTTTTCTGGTATCATCTTTAATCTTGATCCCCACAAATCATGTGGATCCAGTAGACCTGTAATAGACACTAAGAAGGGTGCTCCCGAACTGGCTCCTGTTCTCTCTAAACTGTATATTAAAACCCTCGCTACCTCCTGCTTTCCAGTTTGCTGGAAGTCATCGTCTGTTGTTCCAGGTTTTGAGAACTCTGGTGAAACATTTGGCCCATCTAACTATCAGCCTAATAGACTTCTGCCTCTTTTTGGGAAATGCCTTATTGATGTTAAATTGATTCATCATTTCTCATCACGTGGCCTTTTTTCGTACAAGAAATAAAGCTTACGTTTCTCCTGATCAACTGCTGATGTAGTAACGATAATTACAGAAAGACACTGTAGCATTGGACATCTTGATGTCTTTTGACAGGGTCTGGCATTCAGGTCTTCTACACGAGCTGAAAAGCTACGGCATCTCCGGTCAAGTTTCTGTGCTGAAGTGAAGGTTGTCTTGAATGGCAACTCGTCTACATCCTTTCGTACTAAAGAGGGTGTCCTTCAGGCCTCCATCCTTTATCCTACGCACTTTTAATCTTTATTAACGACCTTTCCGATGATCATCTCTCAACTTGGCATCAACGCTGACGACACAACCGTTTTCACCTGCCTCGATAGTAAATCTGATCCGTCCGACATGGCCAAATTAGCAGCTGATGTGCAAAACGATCTCAAGACCGTCGTCAACTGGGACAAAAAAAGGCTTGTCTATTTTAACGCCTCCAAAACTAAGCTTCTCTCCATTATTAATCTGAGAGACCCCCAATTGCCTTTCATCAGTATGACTGATGCTATGCATCGATAAAATGACTCGTTGTGCCTTCTTAGGCGAACGTTCTCAATTGACATGAGGTGGAAAGACAACATTGAATCCGTCGGTAGATCACCTGCTAAGAAAGTTCACTGTGTCGGGCGTGACAATTTTTCTCTTCGGAATCTATCTTTCATATCTATACGTCTACCATTCCTATATGCTTAGAATATTGATGCCATATATGTTCCAGTGTCGCCGGCATTTTCCTGAAGCTCCCGTGATAAGATTCAAAGAAGTATCAGTAATATTATTGGTGCTGACCTGGCATCTCGGCTTCAGTCACTTGCCCACCGCCGCTAGGTTCCCTCTCTGTGCCTTTCATGGTGAACGTTCGGATGAGATCTTCGATATGGTACCTAGTCTTTATGAATTTGATCGTAATACTAGAGGGGACGATGAGATCTCATCAATTTAAAGTTGAGCTAGCAAGATGTAGCCGTAATTTCTAATCTAAGTTTCTTTTTTCGTAATTCTCGCATTTGGAACTCCCTCCTAGCTTTATGCTTTCCAGCCAACTTCAATCTACAAAAATTTAAATGCAATGTCAATCGCTATCTACTGTCCTTCTGATTACTCTTTTCTCTTCCCGCTCATTAGTAATGTTTCTGTTCTTAATTTCTCCCCTCCCTGTAACCCCTTGCGTGTTAGTGACTGTACGGCGGTCAAAACATGAAAGTGTAAAAATATGTTTTAATACCAGCAATAGATTTTTGAAAAAAAAAATTACTAGCAATAAAAATCTTGTTGGCATTAAATAAACCATAGAGGTTGATATACCGTAAAACAAAACAAACTTCCTGGTCTCCCCTACTACTGTGACAATGGACTACTCCTGCTTGTTTTCTTTACATCGTCTTCTGTTCTTTATTCTTTTGAACAAAGGCAACGTTACAACAGTATATAACTAATAACGTTGTATTAGTTTTTCCTTTATCTAATCGGCACGTGTTTTGTTCCTCGGTCGAGATCTGACGAGGGAGGAGCAACAATCGGGTACAATTTTTTGTCTTTCTGGTCTTCTCTATTAAATGTCACTCCATTTTACCCTAATTACATATTATAAATATGTCTGCCATTAATAAAAATATTTTTCAATATTTTTGAAATCTACCTTACATACCCATAAGTCTATAATTCCTTCATACTTAGAATGTTGCTGCCATATATGGTCCGGTGTCCCTTGAGATAAAATCCCAAACAGTCAGCAATATTATTGTTTCTCTTTTTAATTCCTCCACATCCTGTAACGCCTTGCGTGCAAGTGGATGTACTTGCTTGCTTGAGATGATACCGATAAAAATAAGAATATGTGAGCATGAAGGCTGTAAAATCCGATAAATTTAACCCTTCGCAAGGGAGGTAACCTAATTTATGTAAATTCTTATTAAATTGTAATTACGTGTTTTACATTGTAGTTTTTAACAATTAAAATTTAGATATTTTAAAACTTTGCTATTATAAACATTTTAGACCTTAGTTTCTATACTCAATTTTATTTTTTTATTTTTGGCCGTAATTTGAAGGTTTTGTTTCCTATTTTTGTGGTAGAGTATAGTTGTATTGTCGTTTAATATTTCTCTAAATCGTGAATATGGAATTTTCCTTTAAATGTTCGGAGACTGAACTATAACCATTCATGTGAAATGTAAGTCTTCTTGACAATGTCGTAGTCGTAAAATCAACATATAATTACGAAAATCGACTTTTCAAGTAAGCTATTTTGTAGGTACCTCATAGGAAATAAATTAAACGCAGGATTCTTTTTAAATTATTTATTCCGAAAATTCTATTAGAGGTAAGTCGATGCTATTTTTAATTTTTATTTGGATTAGTTATTTGATTTTTTTTTCTTTCTAATTGATGTTCTTCGTATTTCCGTGTTTAAATGAAATCATATATCAGCATATATATATATATATATATATATATATATATATATGCCTGAAAAACATTAGTTATTTTAGCCATACTTAAAACTAGGTACATGAAACTTTATAACATTTGTCACAGATTATTTCTATCGCAAATACAAATAAAGTTATAAACTTTTTAAAGTGCACACGAACTTTATGGACACCCGGTATATATATGCTGATATATTTTATCATATATATATATATATATATATATATATATATATATATAAAATATATATATATATATATATATATATATATATATATATATATATATATATATATATATATATATATATAGATATCTCGCCAAATGGAGATTCATGTAAACTTTACAAGGAGGTATCTTTGGACTTATACTAATTTAAATCTTTATATTTATCACACCCATCCTTAATATTTCCCCTCTCCGGTTGGCAAGCCCATTCTAATAACTTCTCTGAACAACTCTTAATTCCCGCCTTTGTGTCTGTGATAAGAGTAAATACATTTTAACTCTAAACTCTAAATATTTGAAGAAGGTTGGAAGAGGAACTTCCGTCATATAGGACCGGAAGTTGTTCCAGTCTGTCCCTGCATGGCGAAAAAACATTCTATGGAACGGTAAATCAAGGAATATCTTTCGTTTGGAGTCAATCTGAACACTGACTAGGGAATGATCTGACGTGCCAGATGGAGCTAGAAATTTTGCTGAGCATTTGTCAGGGCAGGATGTTAGAAAAAGGTCAAGGAGGTTTGCCTGCTGCCCTGTCACATCCGGGAATCGAGGGTGGGTTCTTCAATGATCCGGGTTATTTTGTATTCTCTACGTTCTTTCTTCATCGGTTTTGTTAGAGTGGACTAACCATTCTTTATGGTGAACATTGAAGTCACCGCATATATGAAAGTTGGCCAAGGGTTATTTGGTGTGGTTATTGTCAATACTCTCTGATATTCGATCGAAGATTACCAATTGTTCGTCCTGAGGACGATAGAGGGCAAAGACGAGTGCGGTACTATGAATGAAAACACATATACGGGAGATCAGGCTACTCGTTTGCATTCCTGCTACAAGGAAACACGTCCTTTATGTAGGCAATTCAAAAGTCTTAACGACTGGAGATTGGCAGCTGACATCTTTTCCGATCTAACTAACTTCCCAGTGGGGAAAGACTGGCTGGTACATTCAATGCCTCTAAAACCAAACTCTTTATATTCCATCACCGTCGATCAGACCCAGAACTACCGCCATTTACGATGAACAGGAGTCCCCTCGAAGAGGACCCGTTCCTTGAAAGGATACTGGGACTCAAACTCACACACGACCTCAAATGCTATTCCTACTGAGGATCCATTGCTAAAGATGCAAGTAAAATGATTGGCTCACTGCGCCGCTTAAGCAAGTACCTAACTCCCCATGCTACCCTCTACCTTTATAAGAGTCAGATCAGGCCGGAAATGCACTTTTGCCGCATTTAGGCAGGAACCTCCTAGAACTCACTTTCCGGTCTTGAGAGAGTTCAAAAGCGTCTGCGAGTCCTTGTGGGAGACGAATTATTTTCCATCCTCCAACCTCTCACAGATGGGATGTATTGAGTCACTGCTATATTGTTACTACCATGAAAAGTGCTCGGACGAACAGTCTCCTCGTTCTACCAGGTCTGATCATCACGGTTAGGACCCACCATGCCACTTACATAGTTGCACATCAGACACATTCCCTTCGTATTCCGTAGGTGAGAAGTAAGTTCCACTGAAACAGGTTCTTTCCGCGAATCACTGTCCTGTGGAACAGACTCCCAAGAGAATGTTTCTCCGATCAATGCAGTCTTAACCTGTTCAAGACTAGAGTCAACCGTTATCTTCCCCGCCTATACCTATAAAATACCACTTATCGTAAACCTCTACTCAAGTGGCTCTTGAGCCTTGTACAGGAATGTTACTGTAAAAAAAAAAGATACAATCTCCCAAAGGACATTTAAATGTATATAGGATGTTCTTTATTTTTGTTTTTGCAAAACGTTAGTTGACGAAGAAAAGTTATTGCGGATGAACTTGAGAGGATCAAAATAAAAATGAAAAGATATATCTATATTATTTCACCAAACATGCATAAATGAAGGTATGCTTCCTGTATATATATATATATATATATATATATATATATATATATATATATATATACACAGACACACACATAAACACACGCTCACTCACGCACGCATACATATTTATATTATTTTTAAGCATTAAAACAAATATTTGTTATAATTTATTAATTGTTTCATCTTTGTTTGGTAACTAGGGATTTTTGGTTTTTGACATGGCGTTGTCTTGAATACTAAGGTATTAATTATGGAAGTTTAGGTTTGTTGTTGCTTGCGTGTATGTATATATATATTTACATATATACGTATAAACACGCATATACCAATATATTGTATTTCTTCGATTATCCTATTTTATGTTTATTTTATATACATTTTATTTTATTTATTTATTTTAACTAGTGTTTAGATATCGAAATAAATATTTATTCATATGCCTACACTTTCCCATTATTTCAGTTTTCTTGTTTAAGAGTTTATTTTCATTTTTAAAACTAATAGAAGTGTAGGCATATAAATAAACACATTTATACACTTACATGAATGAACATTTTCTCGCCCTTCATACACCTACACGCACATGCGTTTCTTTACTTATACACTCTTACACAATCACACACTTTAACACCCTAAATATTCCTCATACTTATATTGTATACTGCCTTTATACACCTGACGCGTGACTGGCCAATAAGAACGAAGCAAAATTCTTGACATTCCAGTACTCTGTCTCTTTGCATTTTCATTTCTATTCTCGATCTCTGACGAAGTCTTACTAAAGCTGAAACACGTTAAATTGAGATTCGTTTCCTACATTGTTCTTTATTTCATTTTATTATCTTGTCGGATTCCTAACCATATGTGATTTACACGCACATATATACACACGCACGCGAACATATATACATATATATGTACGTGTTTGAGGGTGTGCATACATGTATGTGTGTGCATGTTTATGCAAGAGTTAATCAATAACGGAAAATCAAGATAAATCATCTCTCTACTTCTCTTATTTTTCAAGCGTTGTCTGTTCATATCTATCTATCTATCTATTAGAACTTTTCCTTCGATCTTTTTTTTTCGTTCGTTCTTCTCTTTTACTATCTATCTATCTATCTATCTATCTATCTATGTATCTTTGAGTCTTTTTATCTTTCTTTTCCTTTCTTTCTTTCTTTATTTATATCTATTTTTTATCTCTTTTTCTTTATTTATTTATATTTCTTCCTATCTATCTATCTATCTATCTATCTATTTTAGTCTCTTTCTTTCTTTCTTCCTGAATCTTTCTATCTATCTATCTATCTATCTATCTATCTATTTTAGTCTCTTTCTTTCTTCCTGATTCTTTCTTTCTATCTATCTATCTTTTAGTCTTTTTATCGTTATTTCTTACTTTATATCTATTTCTTTTGATCTCTTTTTATTTATTTCTCATTCGTCCTATCTATCTATCTATCTATCTATCTATCTATCTATCTATGTTAGTCTCTTCCTTCCTTCCTTCCTTCCTTCCTTTTTTTCTTTCTTTCAATCTCTCTATCTCATTAATATTTTTTGTTGTTTTTTGACAATGGCCGTGATGCTGGTGACAATACCTGTGAAGATTAATGTTTTTTAACCGAATTTAAATTCGCCATGGCCGCAATTAAATTAGGACCAAACAGAAAACTAGCAGAAGTCTTGATTTGACATTTCCTCTCCACCTTTCTTCTATTGGCGTCGTTTTATTCAAATTGGTATTTCCTGGCAATGTGGGTTTTTGGCAGACGTTCGCCGTGTTTTGGAGGTTTTCACTTTGAGGCGTAGATGCTGAAAATGACATAGATTTTATGATTCAGGTTGGCTCTGAGTGTATTTTTGTTTCGGACATTTAAAATTTATTTGAATTTTTTGACAAGCAAAGAAAAAATGCCCAATGATTGATGAAGGAAGTAAAAATGGCTATAGAGAAGGATTTTAAAAAGCAAAAAGAAATATAAAACGTAATGATCTGAAAGAAAAATATATTAGGGGAAAATGAAAGTATTTGGGGTAAGAAGAAGAAGAAGAAGAAGAAGTAGAAGAAGGGGGAGGAGGAGGAATAATAATAATATGAAGAAAAAGGAGTAGTAGTAGTAGAAGTATGAGGAGAAGCAAGTGGAAAGAAAAATATAACGGGCGTACGGAGAAGGAGAAGAAGAAGTAGGAGGGTAGTAAAAGTAGGAGGTGGAAAAAGAAAGGAGGAGCAGAAGTATGAGGATGAGGAGGAAAGAATACAGGGGAGGCGGAGAAGAAGAGGAAGAAGAAGAAGAAGAAGAAGAAGAAGAAGAGAAAATGAGGCGGAGCAGAAGTAGTAGAAGTATGAGGAGGAAAAAGAACAACAACAAAAAGGAGACGGAAGAAAGTGGAAGAAGTATGTCGAGGAGGAAGGGGAAGAAGTAGAAGAATAGGGAGGAGGCGAATAAGAAGAGAAAAAAACGAGGAGAAAGAGCAGAAGTATGAGGAAGAATAAGAAAAAGAAGGAGTGGGAAGAAGAAGAAGGAGGAGGAGGAGAAGGAAGAAGAAATAGAAGAAGAATCGGACGTGGAGAAGAAGTAGAAGGATAAGGAGAAGGAAGAGAATAAAGAAGGAGGAGGAGGAGGAGGAGAAAAAGATGACGTAGAATATGAAGAAGAAGAAAAAGAACACAAAAGATCAAAATACGGAAAAAAACTGGGGCAAAATGTGAAAAAAGACGAAAGACAACGAAATAAATGAAGAGAGAAAAGACAAACTACTTCTACTCCTACTACTAGTACTACTACTAATAATATGAAGAATTAGTAGTAGTAGAAATAGGGAGAATGAAATTAAGAATGAAGGAAAGTATGAACAGAAAATAGAAAGAAACTAAGAAAATTTAAATAATCATTTTAAGGGGGTGACGGAAAGTTCTAAGTCTGACTAAGATCCCCATTCAACGAGAAAATATTCTGGTAAATCATCATTCGGGTAGCTTATAAGTGAGTTGTGCTGACTTTCTTTTGTACCGCCGCATAATGTTAAGATCGTTAAAAAAGTAAATAAAACGTAAGTAAAAGACATAGAAAGGAAAAGAGAATAAAAACAAATTTTAAGAAAAAAAATCAAGAAAAAACGGAAGAAAAACAGAAAAAGACGAATAAGAAAAAAGTAAAGAAAAAGGCACGAATCAGAGAAAAAGAATGGATAAGCAAAGAAAGAAAATGAATGAAAAAGTGAAAAGAACGAACGACAATAAAAGAAGAAAAAAAAACAAGAAATGGGAGAAGGGAAAGAAAGACAATAGGGTGAAGAAGAGAGAAAAAGTGAACGATGTAACAATGAATCATAGAAAATGAAAGAAAGATAAAAGGACAGCGAAAGGAAAAGAAAAAAACTGAGAAAAGAGCGAATGAGAGAATAGGATGGAAAGAAAAAAGCGAATGACATAAAAGAAAGGAAATAGAAAAAGGATGTTATCCTCATCTTCACTGTCATGTTCACAACGTTTCGGCCGTTGTAGGCTCCGGCCTTCCTAAGATGATTGGAAATTTCGAACCGAAACCTTTACTTCGTCCACCGGGGTAGATTTTTCAAGTTCATGGACACATGTTGGATACAGACGTTGGTTAGATCCACTGACCAGACCGAAATAGTTGCGAGTTCAATATCAGGTCGAAGCAGTAGTGAACCAAAAACTTGGAGAGTTGAGTTAAAGGGAAATAAGTGAGACATCCGGAAGAGACATGGCACGTGGAACTAGTGCTTCCAACACCTGCGGTTTATACTGTAACTAAGCTAAGCGGACTTTTGTTACAGATTCTTTGTGTGTGTGAGAGAGAGAGAGAGAGAGAGAGAGAGAGAGAAAGCGAGAAAGAGAGCATAATCTGGCATGATCAGCAGTTTGAATAAGGCCACTGCGCTCAAACTGTCTGCCACGGTGACTTATTATTTTGAGCAAGCACGAAAAGCCGATAGTTTCAGAACACTTCCGTTAACCCTATCTCACTCACAATCCTTTGAATAATGTCTACATTCATGACTGAGATTAATATTTGCTTGAGTGGTACGGCGATGAAGTATATTATTTGTTTAAAACTTTACGAATACGCACCATATTGTTTGATATGAATTTAAGCGTGCTACTAGGTTGGCGTTTCGGTCCCACCCTTTCACTGTCGAAACAGTTAAATGTAACTGCCTTTTCTACTCCAACAGCTTCTTCTCTCGCAACTCTTGACAGTGGAACTCTCTTCCTACTTTTTGCTCCCTTGATAGCTATAATCTTCAAATATTCAAATGTAATGTCAATCGAGATATTCTGATGCCTTGATCCTGATCACCTGTCCTTCTCTTTATCCTTTCCTCAAATACCCCTTTTTTTTCTTTTACTTTCACTCTCTGTAACCCAATGCGTGTTAGTGGCACTCTCGTCTTTTTTTGGGTGAAATGCTTAAAAGAAGATAGATAGATAGTTAGATAGAATCTTCAACTATTCTAATGTAATCTCAATCGATATCTTCTGATACCTTGATTCTGATCCCCGTGCTTCTCTTAATCCTTTCATCAAACACTCCTTTTTACTCTTACTTTCACTCTCTGTAACCCCTTGCGTGCTAGTGGCACCCCCTCCTTGCTTGGGTTGAAATGATTAAAAGAAGATAGATAGATAGATAGATAGATAGATGGATAGAATCCTCAAATATTCAAATGTAATGTCGATATCTTTTGATACCTTGATCCTGGTTCCCGTCCTTCTCTTAATCCTCTCTTCAAACACCGCTCTTTACTCATAATTTCACTCTCTGGTATCCTCATCATCCTTCTGTAGAACTACGTTTCTGTTGCTTGAGGTCTCGTTATCTTTGAGGAGATTGTCCAGCACCCGTTGCGCGCTAGTGGCACTCCCGCCTTGCTTGAGGTGAAATGCTTAAAAGAAGATAGATAGATAGATAGATAGATAGAATCCTCAAATATTCAAATGTAATGTCAATCGATATTTTTTGATACCTTGATCCTGATCCCCGTCCTTCTCTTAATCCTTTCCTCAAACACGCCTCTTTACTCTTACTTTCACTTTCTGTAACCCCTTGCGTGCTAGAGGCATTCTCGCCTTGCTTGAGGTGAAATAATTAAAAAAAAATATTAGGATTTTTGAATAAGTGAGATTTAATCATTTATAACAACTGTTTATCAGTCGGGATGGAAATTAAATATTACCCGACCTTTCATCATTATCCCGACATCTTCATTTCGCAGATATTCCATTGTGTAAAGAAGAATGCCTCTCAGGGTGATTATGAGCTGTTAAATCGAGAATTTGTAAAGGTTTAATTTGAAACGTTCGAAAGGTTCCGATTTCGATTTTCTTCCATTGGTGCAAGTGTTAACTCCAGGTTACTTTTGACATTTATGTCACTTCCAATGGTATTTCTTAACTTTATGCCACACTCCCGTATTGCGTATTGTAAATTATTGTCTGTCAATTTTCCCGCGTTTCTATAACTTTTCTTCCAGTCGAGTTCATCTCAAGAAAGGCAGTAAAGAGATTACTCGGTATGGAAGTATTAGAAAACAGAAACATTACTAAGGAACAAGAACAAAAGAAGAATAATCAGGACAACAACAAAATTGTGTTCAAAATATTTAATATTTGGTATTAAATATCTTATAAATATTATGATGAACACCTCGAGGCGGTGTAAGGGTTGGCAAGCTTGTCCCGCTAGAACAATTACGACTAAGTACTGAGTTCGATCCTCACTGGGTGCCCCTCTACTTTCGGCCTTGTGCCACGTCTAAGCTACGCTTGGAAAATCACTTTGGGTACCTCGAGGCGGTCTAATGGTTAGCAAGCTTGTCTCGCTAGAACAATTACGACTGAGTAGTGAGTTCGATCCTAACTGGGTGCCCCCTACTTTCGGCCTTGTGCCACATCTAAGCTACGCTTGGAAAATCATTATTGGTCATTTCAACTTGGTGAAATGGTCAGAATGTTTGTTTTGCTAGATCTATTACGACTGAGTAGTGAGTTCGATCCTCACTAGTTGCCTCATATTTTCGGCCTTGTGCCATATCTAAGCCGGGCTTAGAAAATCACTATTCGAGACCAGGTGGAATCTTTGGTCGAACTCTCTGCCTTTAGGCAGAGAGGAATCCGGACGAGGCTATGCCGAAGGGCAGAGTCTCGTTGGTGGAGGTAGACTGACCCTGAATTCGTTCAAAGGGGATATTTTTGGCCGAGCCTACGAGCTCGGAGAACCCACGATAAACTCGGCCTTGTTCCACATACGACCATCGTGTGTGTAGGGGGTGCTGTTAAATATGCCTATAAAAATTGATATACTGCTAAACAAATTCGGCAAGCCAATCAAGCAACATGAAAGATTCTTTCATGGCATTAGTCCAGATAATGTCCTAAAATTTCTTAAAGAAATCAAAATGTATTCCAAAATATAAGTTCAAGAAAATAATAACATAAAAGATACCGCCTCTAGGAATTATGTTCAATGCATATGCACAAAATCTGAGTATCATCTACCATGTATGCAATTGTAAGAGCAGAATAACTTCAGCATTAAATGACCCA